TCCTGCCTTCCTCTTTGTCAAGGTCAGACTCTGTTTAGGGAAAGAAGCTGAGAAAGACACAAAGGCTGAGAACAACTCTTGTTAAGTCAGAATTAGTTATATTAATCAAACACAGAATTAAGGACGTCATCTCAAACACAAAATGTCCTTCTTTTTTTTTTAATATACACTGCTGGAAAAACACTTTATATTTCGATACTAAATTATTACGGAGGATAAGTTGATGTTAACAGTACAATGTCCTCAAATAATCATGCAATGAAAATACAACAATACAACGGAAATACTTAGTTGAAACTGGAAGTTTACACACACTGTATAAAAAGACACAAACTTCTTTTTTCTCACTTTCTGACATTAAATCAAACTAAATTTTATCTGTTTTAGGTCAGTTAGGATTACCAACATTATTTGCTAAATGCCACAATATTGAGAGAGAGAATTTTTTAGAGAATTTTTCTATTGTTTTATTTAAAGTCAGAAGTTTACATATATTTCCTTAGCATTTGGTAGCGTTGCCTTTAAACTGTATGACTTGGGTCAAACATTTTGGGTTTCCTTCCACAAGCTTCTCACAATAGTTTGATGCATTCTGGTCCATTCCTCCTGACAGAACTGGTAGAACTGAGTCAGGTTTGTAAGCTGCCTTGCTCCACCTTTTCAGTTCTGCCCACAAATGTTCTACAGGATTGAGATCAGGGCTTTGTGATGGCCACTCCAAAACATTGACTTTGTGAAGCCTCTTTGTAACTAATCTGGTGGTATGTTTCGAGTGATTGTCCATTTGGAAGACCCATTAGCGCCCAAGCTTTAACTTCCTGGCTGAAGTCTTGAGATGCTTCTTCAATATTTCTACATAATGTTCGTTCCTCATGATGGCATCTATTCTGTGAAGTGCACCGGTCCCTCCTGCAGCAAAACACCCCCACCACATGATGCTGCCACCCCCGTGCTTCACAGTTGGGATGGTGTTCTCAGGTTTCCCCCTTTTTCCTCCAAATGTAACAATGGTCATTAAGGCCAAACAGTTCAGTTTTAGTTTCATCAGACTACAGGACATGTCTCCAAAAAGTAAGCTCTTTTTCCCTGTGTGCATTTACAAACTGTGATCTGTCATTTTTATGTTCCTTCTGGAGTGATGTCTTCTTCCTCTCTGAGCATCCTTCCAGCCCATGACAGTCCAGGACTGGTTTAACTGTGGATAATGACACTATCTTACCAGCTTCAGCAGCATCTTCACAAGGCATTTTGCTTTTGTTCTGGGGTTGATAAGCACATTTCACACCAAAACACTTTATCTCTGGGACACAGAACCCGTCTCCTTCCTGAGTGGTTATTTAGCATTTATTCAACTGTCTTTTAATTTCATGAATCCTGTTGTGATCTCAGGCTCTGAAGGAAGTGAATGCTAAACTTAAAGAGCTTTACCCTGAGAGTGAGGAGCTCTTTAAGGTCATCCTCATCAGTGACAACTCATCAGACTCACTCAGCGGGGCTATCAGAAAACATGGTGAGTCGCTGATACACCCAAACAATACCGCAGGCACATTCACCCAAGGATCTAAGGATCTAGTTATACTGTATATACCTGACAAACAGCTGATAAGTTCAAATAGAAAATAACACATGTTTAATTTATTTAAGTTTCCTGTTTGTTGATACGTTCACCTCTTTCTAGTTGCGCATAAACCAAATGTGACTAGATCTTTAATGTGAACCGGTTTTACGTGTAAGGTCAGGATTCTTTGCAGGGATTTTACACGGAACACCTGTTGCAGTAACCACAGCATAAGGAAACATTTGCATTTAGACAATCCAGGAGAATCTGGTTTTCATTCTGTCACCTTCTCAAGTAAAACCACTTTGGAGCTCATCCATTATTAGACGTACTTGAGCTAGTACTTGGTGAAATAAACAGCCCAGCAGTGCATGCATGTCATTCCTAAGGTCAACCAGTCAGTGCATATATTTAATCAACAGAACTGTAAAATCACATATATGTGTAATGTATCCTTATGATAATGAATGTGTAATTTAATTAGTAGAGCGCTACCAGCTCCATCAGAACATTTTGGGGAATCTGATTGTCCAATGATTCTTGTTTGCAGGGCTGCAAGACCTCATTACTCCTCTGGCTGTGAGTGAAGACGATCTTATTAGTGAGTTAGAGGGACACAGTGCCCACCTCTACCTGTCTGCTGAACCAGGGCTGAAGGTTCAAGAAGCACTGAACCAAGGTAAAGATTATCAAACCAATGAGAGCACAAGCACCTTTCAGCACTGATAGCTTTAACAGTGACTGTACGTGTTACTGTTAATCAGGCATAGCAGCAGCTATCATGAAGAGCCCAGACGACATCAAGACGCCTGCAGAGAATCAGCTGCGTGTTGCCTTCGACGGCGATGCTGTCCTCTTCTCCAATGAGTCGGAGCGAGTTTTCCAGAGTGGAAAACTACAAGGATACTTGGAGCACGAGAAGAAAAAGGTTGAAGATCCAATGAATCCGGTAACACATTCAGTCATCTATGAATCTTTCATGTTATTACCTTTTAACTATTGAAAAAGCTCAAAAGAACTCCCTCAGCTGTTTATATGACTAAACACAATGATGTTAAAGAATTCAGTCGTATTTATTTTTATGTTGGTATTCTAATATTCTGATTTATAATATACCATAACTGGAGTGACAGCACACTGTCTGCTCTCTACGTTGTCATCTTGCTCTCCTGTGTGTCTCCGATCATGAATGTTAACTTCTGTTTTAGAAGAAGATCCACGTCAGATTACACTGATATCAGTTACATGTTCCTATGATACGACTAATCTCAACTTACTTTGCTGTTTTGATCAAAATTTGCAGCACATCATTGCTCCTCTTCTCTCTTCTGTCCTCAGGGGCCATTCAGGAAGTTGTTGGAGGTTTTGGAAAGACTGAAGACGAAGCTTCAGGATAAAGGCCTGTACAGGGACTGCCCCATTCGTACCTACCTGGTGACGTCTCGTGGTGCGGGCTGTGATGGTTACAGGGCCTTGAACACTCTGCGCATGTGGGGTCTGGAGATGGATGAGGCTGTCTTTGTGGGAGGGAGTAACAAAGGTCCCACCCTGGAGAAGATCAGGCCCCACATCTTCTTTGATGACCAGCAGCGCCACATTGAAGTTGCATTGGAGGTTGGCACCGTGGCATGTCATGTGCCCACCAGCTCACAGTAACCAAGAGAGAACCAACGGCTGATTATATTGTAGCTGACAGAGAGATGTGAACGACATGCTCCTATAATTTCTGAAAGAAGCAATAAATAAACAAATACAATAAACCTGTTTGAGTGTTGTTGTTGTTGTTATTGCAGTAGTAACTGTTAATGTATATATTGCTGCGGCGTCCATAAAATGCATCTTTCTGAATCACCTGTTGGGGAAAAGCGAGTAAAGAGAAAAAAAAGCAGAAAAATGAATGCAGGAAGAAGGTGTTTGATGACTTGAATCAGCAGATCAAACGACAACAGACGCCATTTTGAGAAGGCTTGTTGGTAAAAAAATAATCTGTAACGTAAGTGAGTCATTTAAAAAGATATCCTGCATGATGTGGCTACCAGCAGATTTTCCAGGATGTAGTCGGCCTTCCACAAACTGTTAATCCTCCGTTGAAACATTTTAAAGCCTAAATATGCCAAAATGAAGTACGATGCTTGTCAGATAGGTGTGTCCGGGATCATTTGGTACTTT